AGGTGAGAATGACACGAGAAACTAGATGCAGGGATACGAACAGTTTTTGCTTGGTTTGTTGCTTGAGCATCAAAAGCATCTGTTCAAGCATCTGTTGAAGCATCTGTTGAATAAACATGCACATACAGAAGCAGTGCAACATTTAGTTGTTTGGCAAGTTTGCGGCTCTTTTGAAGCTCATGTTGCTTTTGTCCCACAGATGTATGACTACAGTTTAGACATGTGGAGCTTAGGCTGCATGTTGGCGAGTATGATCTTTCGGAAAGAGCCTTTTTTCCATGGACATGACAACTATGATCAGGTGAGACGTGCTGCTTTTAGGCCTTTTCAAATATTCATTGTTGCCATGCTGTTTTATAGTGACCAATTTTGTGGCTGAATCACAATTCGCATACTATTCATCTTATAAAATGTAAGATCAGAATTTATTGGTCTCCAATCGTAGCATGTAAGAGAATGTGCTTTGATGGTGTTATTTTTTAGTTTTAGTTTTAAGTGCTAATATTTCCCACAATCCCTTGTACTGATAAAAAGGAAGGTTGATAATGGCTTGCTGATTGCTTGTTGTAGTTTGTTCCAATGTCCTAATGCCTGTCTTCATAAATTCATAAAAAATAAATTTATAAAAAGTTCAGTACTTAATTTGCAATTTGGACATGGAGCTTATTTTCTGTAGCAATCCAAAAGCCCATGGAAAGATCCTATTGGGCTTTTGTGGAGGGAAACAGGATGATGCTAATTTCTGGGTCATGACTGCAGCGCTCTGTTCAGCTGGTTTGATCTGTCGAGTGGTGACTGCTGCCCTCTGCTGTTTTTAACCAGTTCTGTCTCTCTTTCCAGCTTGTACGGATTGCCAAAGTTCTGGGCACAGAGGACCTCTACGACTACATCGACAAATACAACATTGAGCTCGACCCACGGTTCAATGACATTTTGGGAAGGTACGTTGAGATATGGGATTGTTTTTATGCATGTAATACTATTTAACTACAATTTAGATTTGTATCTCTTTCATTCGTCTTCTCTTTCTCCAGACATTCCCGGAAAAGGTGGGAACGGTTTGTCCACAGTGAGAACCAGCACCTGGTCAGTACCGAAGCTCTGGACTTCCTGGACAAACTGTTGCGCTATGACCACCAAGCTCGTCTCACCGCGCGTGAGGCCATGGAGCACCCTTATTTCTGTGAGTGTCTGCTCTCTGGCATTTTATTCATATAAACTTGAACATCACTGCGGTTCGAACCATAATGTGTTTATTTTATAGAACAGTGTGTGTGCTTTCTTGTAAAACGCACCCTATTGTTTGTGATGAAATTAGTGTAAAGGTGTTCAGCAAGGATGAAAAGGTGTGTAGAGGCCTATGAAATATTTGTATATTTTACAAATTCCTTATTTTTTTTTTCCTGTTGTAATTTTTCAGGATTCTGTTTGTTTGTTTTTTTTAAACCATGGCTAATTAATTGAAATCCTAAAACTTGTACAATTTAACAACAGTTGATGAAATAGTTTTAGGGCCTTTATTTGTTCCCAAATTCAGTTTGATATTCACCAAATTCTGTGTGTTAATGTTTAATGTCTAATCAGGTGAATCCATGAAACTTAAATTTGATAATTTAACTTTAAACTTTAATTACAATTTTTATGTAATATATGATTTAATAAAAAAAACATTGGAATTTAAGTGAAAGAATAAATCATTAACAATTTAATAGTTCTAAAAAATTTGTTCTTTTTATTTTGCAAACAAAGTGCTGCACAACAAAAAGGAAGAAAGTTGTGATATTCCTCCGTGTTTTGACAAGTTTGTTATTATGAAAAATATATATATATATATTACTTTGAGATGTACATTCTACTGTACAGTAGTACTATCTTTTTGTCACAATTTCTTCAAGGTAAACCGAAATTTTATTTTGAGAGGTTGCTGTTGAGACTCAGTTTCTGTGTTTATATGATATGATGGTAGTTTTTATCAAATTAAACGGTGAAATGCTCTTAAAAAATTTTTTTTTTTTAATTCATCCAAAATTTGTTAAATTCTGTGACATTCTCTGTTGTACTGGGAGTTCCGTTCTCATGACTGGATTTTGTGATTCTATCCGCATTTTCTATATCGCAGAAATCATAGGGCCCTTGGTGTGCACCATCTTTCAGTCGGAACTAAAGTGGTGGTCATGTGGAAGCTGGATTTTCTTAATTTTTTTTTTTTTTGCACTTTTGAAATAGAAGTTTAATGTGCTGTACTGATTATGCCTCAATGTTCAACATGAGTTTCATGACTGTGTTCATGTCTCGTCATGTATCAGATCCCATTGTGAAGGACCAGGCGAGGATGGGCTCCACCTCAGGACTGTCCACTGGCTCCACTCCAGTCAGCACGTCCAGTATGATCACAGGTCAGTCGTGTGCTTTCTGAGTGAACTTACATTAGGAGATTTCACAAATACTGACAAACCATTGTGTCTGTTTGCCTGTAGGAGGCGTCACATCCATGTCCTCGTCCCAGCCGATGGCCAACATCGCAGGTTCTCCTGTCATCTCCTCTCCCAGTGCTCTAGCCACACAGGTTACTGCAGCCACTGGTGCCCAGCCCTGAACAGACTCACTCATGCTCTCT